TGAGTCCTTTTCTCTCCTTCACGCACTGAAAATGAAACCAGCTTAATCACACCAGTCATGCAGTCTTTTTTTAGCCCCAAAAGAGCCACCGTCACAGGTTACCGGGGGAGCACGTCTCTTGTTCTCACTGGGAAGAGCGAGGAGGTGGTGGCCGTGTCAAGGATTTTCAAGTCGTGACCTGAGAGATGCAGTTGATACCAGTGTGGCAGCCAACATCCTGCCAGGTGCCATGGCGAGCGAGATCGGCTGCAGCATCTGTGCTCACCTGCCTCTGGGCAGGCTTCTGCTGCTCTCCTACCAGTGCTTGGCTTCCCCCACAAAATCATTGAGGAGTTCTGCTTTCCCTTACCAAGGGAGGATGAAATTTGTGTTACCGAAAAGGCTAGACGTACCACAGCCCTTCCCACCAGCTGAGAAATGTTTAAATCTGAAATTGAACTCTGAAATATCTCAGTGTACTGCTTGTATTTTACCTGAAAGCTCCTTGGGTACCTACAGGGAGATGCTGTATGTTTTCAGGTGCACTTAAATGTCAACAGGTGCCTAAACTCGCCTAACACCCCCCCAGACACCAATCCAGAAGCTGGTAGACCTGGAGCCTGGCACCACAAGACCCTTGCTCAGCAGGCACAGAGCCCAGAGGATGCCAGAAGCATCAGTGAACTCATGTGTTTGAGGAAAAGAAGGGATTTCAGCCAGGTCTGACTGCTGCAGGGCTCTGCATTTACTGGTGTTGGTATGAAGGGAAAGGTGGTGATGTATGGGGGTGAGGTGTGGCTGAGAGAGGGAAGTAGTTCAATTTTGATGAGCATCTATCTGGTTTCCTTCCCTCTTCACGTGGGAGGCAGTGGAGCATCCCAGGGCTGCCAGGGCCTGTGTCTGGGTTCAGAAGCCTGGGTACTTGTGTTCCCTACTAGCCCCTGTCTGAAATACAATCTCAGCTACTCATTTGTAGGATTAAAACACTTGAAGCTTCACCTCAGAGCTTCCTAGACTGGAGTTTTTTCTAATACTTATCCCTTCTCAGAAGCTGGTGGCTGGTTGATCCTTATTATTGTAGAGAATGTGCTCTAAGGGGCTGTTCTGCTTTGGTTTTTATGGCTGTCACCTTTGTGCTTATAAAAAAAGTCTGTTTCAAATTAAATGGGCGACTTCCCTCTCTCTGTTTGCGTTATTTATACTAAAATAACGTCTTCCTTCTGTTGTCTTAGCTTCCCAAATACCTTTAAAAAGTAAGTAAATCAAAATCACATCTCATTCTTTTATAACTGAACTCCATAACCTCTTTGCATCTTTTTCTCTTTTATCTTTTTCCCTTATGCTTCAGAAGTGTTGATCTTGGTGGTGGTGCTGCCTTGCTACGCCCTGGTGAGGGTTTCAACCTGCTTTTCGTACGCAGACCCAGCAGCAGAGCAGCCAGCGTACCTCTTTCAGAATATTTGGCAGTCTTCAGTGCTCAGACAGGAGCTGGTGAAAGGCCATGGGAAAGGCAGCACGCTTCAAGGCAAAAAACAATGGGTGCTTGTTTCTTTTATTTATCGATGGATAGAAAGTGCCTGTTTACAACCTAGAACTACCGGTGTTTTATTTCAAGCAAGGTGAACAGAGCTTCCTTGAGCTGTGTGAAACCTCCCGTAGCAGCAGCTGCTCAAATAGCAGGGATCAAGCTCTGATTCCACCTAACTAATTCCTGTCTGGGCTTGCAAGCTTTTCTATGGCCTTTCCAGTTACTGAGAGAAGATGGTTTTGTTGTTAAAATCGGGTAGTTTTGATAGGCCTAGTGTGCTCTGCAGGGAGCCTGTTCCTGTGCAGAACTGCCCCCATGGACAAGGCTGATATGATCACATTCCCTGGGCTCACTGGGCATGTATGGAGTGATTAATTAGCTTAATGAGAGCTGATTGTAAGCCTTCTGCAGCTGTCCTGTGTATATGTGGTAGTGCCAGCGTGGCTTGGACCTGCTGGGCTTTCTGCAGGTTACCTGTGCAGGAGGTGCTTGCAGAGGATGGATGGGCTCTCTCTGTGTGACTTGGGTGATGACCAGACCAATGCAGACTCTCGGAATTCATGGTTTTGCTGTCAAATAAGCCATTTTGGTGCATTTTTTAAATTTTTTCCTCCTACAACAGCCTCTCTTGGCTTATTGCTAGCTCACTTCAGAAGTTGAATCTCACTGCACTCCTCAGGGAGGTGACCGTGATTCTGAGCTTTGCATCAAGTTTGTGCCCATGTTCCTCCTAGCTGATGCCTTCAGGAAGCTCTTTTCCTTGGGCCTGTGGGCTGGATCTGTCCTAGCTTTTACCTGAAATATTAGGAAAACACCCACCCAACAAATACAAGTAGAACTAAGCTAAATCCCCTCAGAAAGATTACTTATCTTGGAATAGAGTCTGCCTGGGTAGCTTAATGATCTGTATTGTTTACATGTACTAGATGGCCAAAAGACGGGCTGTTGTACTCCAAAATTTTTCTGTTTGAACCGATGCACCTCACTTCTGACAGCTCCTGGTACTACTACTACTATTTTATTATTATCTTAAGGCCAGGTTGGCCGGGGCTTGGAGCAGCCTGGGCTGGTGGAGGTGTCCCAGCCCATGGGGGAGTTGGATTGGGGGAGCTTTGAGGTCCCTTCCAACCCAAACCATTTGATGATTTTGGAGAGCACTTTCTGCTTCTCTGCCTTTACAAAATGTGGTTGTTACTTTTGGGATCTGGCATCGTAGATGTATGTGCTGTTTGTATTGCTATTCCTATAGGTAAAAACTCGTTTAACAAAGTTCTCTGTGCATGGCGAGTGTTTGGATTGGGGATGATGACCCCAGTGTGACTCCAGGATGCTCCTTCTCCCCAGCGCCTGTGAGTTTTTTGGGTGCAGAGCCCCACTGGCACAGTCACATCAGGCTTCTTCAGCTCCCTGGTCTCTGCTGCAGCACAGGCTATAGGATCTCTTGATTGGCAAGTAATTAGCTGTAATTGTGTTATCTATAACACACTGGAGTGGAAAGCAGTGTCCCTGAGCGTAGGTGAGGCAGCGCCACGCTTGTTCTGGGCCACAGTCGCTGTTCCCTGCCTTTGTGTGCCCGCCAAAGAGCGCAAGGACAGAAGTTGATGGGAGCAATTTGGACAACTGGCATGGCCAGCCTCTTGTCTGCAGGGGTGAAGTTGCTTCCAGTGGCTGGTTAACAGGCTTGGCCCACAAATGCTCTTCTCTGTGCATAATAAGGCAGAAGAGTTCTTAAAACGGTTGCACTCGGGTCCCCCCGTGTTTGCTTGTTGGAGCTGTAAAGCAGAAAGCACTACTAAACGTGGGTGTGTTTAGGGTACTGCATAGGGTGCACGTGGGTCATCGTGGGTACAACTGCAGAATGCCTTTAAAAAAGGGTTTAAGTTCAGTGCAAGCAATTACAGAAAAACCCTGACAGATTTGTGACTAAGAGATGAGGATCTGCCATTTATGGAGAAGGGGTTTAAGAATATGAATGAACAGCTCTCCAGTTCTGGGGGCAAATACAAAAACTAAGCAGTCTAATGCATTTTCAATATTCGGGGCAAGGTGAACGCTGGACAAACAGAGGAATGACCAGAAAACACTCAAAACTGGGCTGCGTTTTGGAGCCAAAATGACTCTATGTGCAAGCGCAGCAGCAGTGCCCGTTTGTGACTCAGCTAGGAACATCCTTAACGGGACAAGCAGGGATTAGAGCTGAGTGGAGGAAGCATCCAGAGCTGGAAAGCCCGTTCAGTGTATTTTGTAAAACAAAGTACTTGGGCAGGAATCCAAACAGAGCTACTCAATGCTGGTGCCGTCCTGTGAGAAAGTTGGCTGTGAAGGGGCCTGCTGCTTCATTTAAGGCAAGCCAGGAGGGGGATCAGGGAGTTCTCAGGGGTTTTTCCGTTGGGGTGGAAAGCAAATGGAAAAGGATAGTAATACTACTGAAAATACTCTCTGAATGTTTTAAATAAGCTTTGCTGTTTGAAGGTGAAATGAGAAAAGAAAATACAGATGCTGACTTGGATGAGAATTGTGTTTAAGTAGGAAATAGGAGAGGATTACCTGGCCTCAAATTAGGAATAACTATGGCTAGCAGAAGTGGAGTAATGAGTTTTTAGGAGTTTGTTCACCACCTGTATGGGTGGTATAACACATCCACTGAGATTAAACTGAAGTGGGCAGTAGTGCCAGCAGAATCTTGACGTCCAGAAGGAAATACCTCTGAGGTACTGAATGAAAAACGTCTTTAAAAGTCAGACTTAAGAAAATGAGAGTGGATTTTGGCTCTGGACACCAGGCTGTTGCTGTCCTTCCTGAAACGGGTCCTGGCAGGGGAGCTGCAAGTGAGATTCACAAATGAATCAGCTCTGTGGTGCTGAGGGTTGTCACATCCTGAATTTAGGAGCTTTTCTGGCTGATGGGGAATGGTGTGTGGATTCCCTTTGAAATACCCGGCTACAGCCAGGATACCTGCAGACCCAGCAGACACCGAATTAACTTAGGCTGGTTTAACCCCAGCTGTTCCAGGGCTCTACTGCTGTGGGTTAAGGAGCTTAGGTAAAAATATCACCACTTTATAGTACAAAATAATGTTCAAAAAATAGCTTTTTGTGAGTTTTCTGCCGCTAGGTAGAGAATAGGTATGGCAAATGTAAAAGAGAGCAGTAACTTTTTACTGCAGCTGCAGAAATTGGCTTCCTGCCTCTACTGCTGACCTGTATTTGCACCCAAGCAACAGTAAAAAATAGGTAAAACATAAGTATTTGATATAGAGGAGATTTCCAGCATTATTTCTCTTAAATAACAGATTTATCTATTTCAAGTAAAGAAAAAGATAACTGCATGGAGACTTATTGGTTCCATTCATGTTCTTAAACTGCAATAGACTTTAAATTGAATTTGCAGGATGGGCTGAGAGCTGTCACTTGACTTCTTCCCTCCTTACTGTGCCCCTCGCTTCCTTCCATCCCCGCTCCGTTATTTACTTACTTTATTCTTTATTTTTCAGGACTTGCTCCCGAGGCCAATAAATTAGTGAGCAGCTTGAAGACCATGCCAATGCTGCACGATGAAGCGTTTGCCCGGGAAACAAAGCTGAACAACTCCCATGAGTTCCCCGAAAACACGCTGGTGCTCCCGTGAGTGCGTCCTCCTTGGGGAGAGGAGGGAGCGCTAGGAAGTCTCTTGCTAATTTTCAGACAATTACATCTCCAAACATTTAGCGTGAAGAATCCATTATGAGATTAGCGAAAATGCTTCTGTTGACTTGAAAGGAAAAAGCCTCCCATGTCTGGCACTGTAGACAATTTCTGTGTGGATGTGTTTGCAATGAAACATCTTACAACTGCTTGGGAAATAACTGTTAAATTAGGCAACAAGTCGCAGCTTTGGGCAGCTTCAATCTGTGGTTTTCTTCTGGGTTTGGATATTAATTTGCTATTGTGCAAACACAGAAATCTGTAGAAATTAAGAAAACCATACATGCAGCTCTGTGTGAGTTATCTTGAGCGTACGTCTGAAAACGTAGCAGCTAATTAATGCATCCATGAATAGGCCTCGTGCTTTAATTCTGCAGGCCTTCTGTTTTAAAAAACCCTAAAAGCTGATTGTCTTTCCCCGAATTTATGCAACATTATGATAATAAGCGATGGGCTTCTAATTAATCTGCACTGCTGCTTAACTGCTGGGCAGTGATGAATAAGCTTAAAGGTTTTGTTTAGAGGGCAGCATGCTAATTGGAGATATTCCCTGTAAGCATGTTAACTTTGCACAAAGGGTGATGTTACACAGCGATTCAAAAATACATGGGACTGTAGCTGTTTTGCTATAAGAGTAAAAATTGGCATTCTTTAGTCTTTAAGGAGAAAATCAGGACATACAGAGAAAATTTAATGTTTATTAATTTATCTCTGTTTTGTGTTGAGGTCTCTCTGTAAAGCTTTTAAAAGTAACCACTCAAAAGGCAGATGGCAGAAAAAGGGGTAATAGGAAAAGAAATGCAGTCCCAGTGGAGCTGTAATGATGTGAACATACAGTTTGTGTTAAATACAACGCTTACACTATGAGAAATGGGGCTTTTACAATACTGTGTAACTGAGAAACTTTTAAATAATATATGGGATTTGAAATACAACAAAACTACACTAATATAGCCATTTGCATCCTAAATATACTTCTCCTGGCACATCTTTCCCATGAAGAATGGAAAAACATAAACCAATCATTCAAAAACCGAGGTTTAAAACCCAATCTTGCCTTGTTTTTCTGGCGCTGCTGAGTGCTGTTTCTGGAGGTTGGTCATGGCAATTTGCCACTTTCCCTCTGGTGCTTGCCCTGTGATATTTTAACCAGGCAGTTGAGAAACATTGTGAGTTCCTGAGGGGAGGAAAAAAAAAGGAGTATTTTGTGAACTTTGTATATCTGTGTGATAACCTCAATGCGAGAGGAATGACAGGATCTGGTTTTAGAGAGGCATCGGAAGTTCCAGGCTGCGCTGGTCTCTGCTGTGTTTTATTTGAACAGAACATCATCGGGGGAGCTGTCTTTTCACAGATTTTTCAGCAGACTTCCAAAGTGACTCCTAGCTGTGTAAACGTGACATCCAACAAGGCAATTTTTCATGTGAAGTCTGACTTCCTAGGCTCAGTTCGTCACTTGGTTATGAATGAAACAGCCCATTGTTTAAATGCTGTATGCAGCTGTCTTACGGGCCTCATAAATGCAGTGGGTACATTTTACTAGCTGATGAACTGATAATTGACTCTTTTTTTGCTTATTTTATATTGTTATATATACAAGAGTAGCACTTGGGAACAAACCACTACTGCAAATGCTGAGGGAAGGTAATTAACTTTTCTGTGCTCTAAACACCTTATTTCAGGAACGTTTACACATCCATGCAGTGTCCTGGTCTTTTCCATAGCCTTTGTCTGTCTCCCAGTGTAAATGTTGAATTATCCATCACAGCTACAGCTGGCAGGGAGCTTTCCAGCATCCTCAGGCAGTGGAGAAGCAGTGAGGATGCTCTGAAGATGATCCCATCCAATATGATCCTGGATGGCCCTGCCTGGAAGAACAATGGGAAGGGCAGAGCTGGCAGCTCTTCTTCGTTAGCTGCTTGTTGGCCACTGTGTTGCTAATTAGGAACATATTCCAGCTAATGTTGATGAGTGATAATGGTAGATACTCTATCCTCTTCCAAGCTTCAGAAAGGTAGCAGAAAATACTAGTTGTAGGGTTCCTTTATTACCCCAAACATTAACTAAAATGAATTGATACAGAGTTGACTTTATTCTGAGAGACTAGGAAGTTAATGTGGAGGAAGGTGCATGATTTGTGGGGTAAAACATGTGATCTGTATGCAATCAAAGGTCTTCGAGGAGTCGGAGTCCTTGAGGAGGAGAAAAGGAGACCTGTGGTCCTTGGAGGCAGGGAGAGCAGACAGCATGTGTACAGCTGGGACAGTCCCACTGTGCTTCCATAGCTGCCATTCCCTTAAAGTCCCCTCCAAATTTGGGATCATCTACTTCTGTAAGATGTTTGAGTGCCCAGACACTTGATCTTTGGTCTCCATCTGCTGGGCCTCACACTGGGATGTTTTCAAGTGCTACTCACAGGTGCTTTATCCTATTGCTTGGCCGTTCATTTTTATCTTGGTTTGGGTTTTTTCCCTTGCACAGCTGCTTTGTCTTGTTTTTATTGTATTTGAAGCAGTCTCTTCCCAGCTGTCAAGGTTACCCTTGTTCAGTGGCCAATAATTGATTACCAGTGAGTTTTTTTTATAGTCCCATGGCCTCTTGTTTTCACCTTACACCAGTATTTTAAGATCTTTGCTATTTTCACATGCTTAAACTCCACCTCTTAACAAGAGACAGCCGGTACCACATAGCAAATGTTCATAACAACAGGCCGAATAGGCAAGGACTGGGGGTTCACAAAGTTAAATTAATTTCTTTTCTGAAATCTGAGGTCACAGCTGAGCAGAGTGGATCTTCTCAAGGCCACAAAAACGAATCCTGGTCATAAGACTTTCAAGAGAAGATGCCCTTTGTGTCAGGGAAGAGCATCTATTTGTAGGGTATCTGTTTATATTTATCAAAGGATTATCTTCTGTTCACCCCCTACAAACCTTCGTAGCTTTATAGATTCCTTTCAGTAGCTTAGGAGGGATTTTTAAACCTTAGGGCTTGGTCTGACTTCTGTTAGAACCCCGTTCCAAACTTGAAGTAAGGCTGGGTTGTTCTTTTGTGTCTTTAGTGTTGCCAGCCCTTCTCTACCTCCCAGATTATATTTATTACTGAATTTAGGGATTTGTGCTTTAAACCACATCAAGCCATGAACTTCTGAACTTGGAACATAATATTTTAAATTTAAGAGCATCTTTTTGGCTATAGACTTGGGGGTGCAGGGGAGAAGGGTGAAAACTGCCCATTTAGTGAAAGAATCAGAAATTATGAGCTGCCGTTAGCTCTAAGAATTATTTTTTCCCAATTATCTTTCTTTTTAGTGTCTCTAAGCAAAACAAAAGAATTTTCTACACAATCCTGGAGCTCTCGCCACTGCTCGATTCTTCCAACATGACACCGGAGGACTGGGCCAAGATTGCAAGGAAACTTGAGGTACTGTGGCGTAGGATAAGACTGAATTTGTTGCTTAAGCAAAGACAGCACTGTGCCTAGTATACTTAGTGAGATGAAGCAGTTCAGTAATGCTGTACCTGTGTATTTGTAGTACAAATATATGTACTTGTATAACAAGTGTACTTGCTGTGCAAGTGCTGTGCTCACAAAGCTTGCTGAAATGTCTCATTTTCAAAATGTTTTAAACTCATTAGAGTTACGTAGTTCTTCCAATGATTAGCTATGTGATAATTCTGTACAGGAAAATAAATAGAAAACCTGCAGCTAAGACTGAATGAGGTACACAGTATGCACACTGATATGTTCCAAGACGTTGACTTGAATTCACTGTCCAAAAATGTTGAGTAAAAACCTGAGGTGTAGGTGACTTACCTGCAGGTTGCTTAGTGACACACTTCTGAGTGTTCAAATAGCTTAATAGCTGGCTATTGACGTAGAAAATAGTTTAATATCTTTATGCCCTTCTTACTTGGGCAGACTGATTGAACTCGCTTTGAATTTGCAGGCAGTAGGAAAACGCTGTCATGGTTAGGTCCCACACTGGGAAATCTTGAAAGCCTTAGATATTTCTGCATACACAGATAAATTCATCACATCCTTCTCTAGATCAGAAATCACCATTCCTCTGTCCCTGTCCTCGTGTATGAACTTCGCTGTGTGCTTTAAAGAAAGTAGAAAAGCAAAACGTTTATAGCACTTCACAGCAGGAGTTCATACATAGCTGTTAGAAATAAATAACCGTGGGGCTGCTAAGATGCTGCTCTCGCACTCCTGCTCGCTCTGCGATAGCGGCCTTTATAGTGTAAATCTCCTTCCTCGACCAAGCTGTTCCCATGCGTGCAAACAGTACAATAACCCTGGGAATGCTGCCGAAAATCATGTAACTGTCTTTCACCTTGAGGTCCTCTAATCCCAAAACCACCAAATTAGGGATGATGCTCCTGTGGGCTGCATCTCGCCAGGGCAGAGAAGAGACGGAGCTGGGGAAACCCAGGGTCAAGGGTAGAGTAACACAGAGAGGGCAATGCTGTGCTGAACAGGAGAGAAGTTACCTTTCTTCATGGCACATTAAAGCTCCTGAGCTCAACAGTACTTCTTTCTCATACACAGAGGGCAGTTTGTGTGTACAAATACCTAGCGTGTGTCATCCACGTGAGAAGTGCCGAGAGGGGACAGTAAACCCTTTAACTGTCTGCTTCTGTACAGACACTGCCACGTTGTGTTTGGCTTGGACTTGGCACAGCCATAACGTGCCCATGACTGCCCAGACGGAAAAGTGCTGAGCTGTTTCTGTGCAGTATCTCCCCAGTTGCCAGCCTCATCTTTTCTGCTGTGAAGCTGAAACCAAGCTATGTCCTTTCTCACCTAATAAGCTTCATTAGGCTGAGAAGATTTGTGAGTGTACTGATAGAGAGGACAAGTGGCTATTTCTGGGATCTTGGCCCTTCTTGAAACTTATCTTGGTACTCACCAGTGCAGTAACTGCAGTGTGCTCTTTGCATCGTGCTGTAGTTTGGCCTACAGAAGGATCTTGCAGCACTGGCTGCTGTTCTGCTGGCTGGCTCCGTAGAAATGAGCAGAAATCCCCTAAAACTTGCAGTAGGTAGCAACATGTAGGCACGAGTATCAGTGAAGAAATAGCAAAAGGACAAGTGGAAACCTGCAGGTGAGTTTGGAGATAACATTTTTTTTATCAGGAGATGCCAAGCGTGTGTGCCTACTGTAGCATAAGAAATGTAATTAAAAAGAAATATAATTTCTATGGCAATGCCCCTTTTTCCCCATGCTGGCCCTTCATATATCTGCGTAGGTTTCTATGTAATCCTTTCCATGTTCCCAAATTACATCAGAGACACTGGTCTCTCATTACAGTGTTTGCTTTGTGCATCACTCTTAAAATAGAGGAGACTTTATCTGACAGGATGAGCTGTGTGATGCATGGCTTTGCTTTAAAAAACTCCTGTGTGGAATTGGATGTAGATTAAAGTTGTTATAAAGTTCCTTTTTTTGCATCTGTGCGTGTCTGATAGTCCAAGGGACTTCTCAACACTCAGCAAGCGTACACTAACTAATGAAGAAGGAGCCTCTTCCCCTTGTTCTGCTGCAGCAAGGCTGATTTCGGGCAGAAGAGGGCACTCCTGCACTGGCAGTTTGCCTGGCTGCCTCCGGATTAAATGGACCGGTTTGCCTATAGGTTGTGATGGCCTCGGTCTGCCTAATCTGTTCCTGTAAATGGTGTAATCCCTAACGTAAAAGCGGCGACAAGGAATCAGACTATGCGGCTGATTTGCATATGTTAACATTCCTGTTTAAAGCCATTGCTAAGCTTTTCTTAATTAGCAGTCTTCTGGTTTAAAAATGCTGCATTAATATGTATACAGAGAAGAATCTCTTTGACTGCTCCATAATTAGAATTACTGGCTCTAGCCTTAGTGTCCCATTAACCCTTAATAGTATTGCAGCTGAAAGCAGGGTGACTTTAGGAGGAATTGTGTGTAGTACCCTTTAAAGAGTCATGCTGTTGCTTGCACCAGTGACAGCAATGCAACGTGTACCTCGCTGATGCCAGTGCATTGCTCTAACAACATGAAAACTGTTTCTCCCCCTCCAGGAGCACTACGAGAAGTACGATGGGTTTGTGATCCTTCACGGCACCGACACCATGGCCTACACAGCTTCAGCCCTGTCCTTCATGTGTGAGAACCTGGGTAAAACTGTTGTGCTGACAGGATCTCAGGTAATGGGCTTGAGCTGAAGTCGGAAACATCACTTTTTATTTATGTATGCCAAACTAGGTGGTGTCCTGCTTGTCTCTGTCTGAGGGCGAGCCTCTGGCCAGGGTGAATGGTCACAGCGCTGACAGAAATTAGTGACAATTGCCGGGCTCGCCAGCTGAGGATCTGCCCCGTAATTTTATCATTAATGACTTTACAACTCTGTACCAAACCGGAGCAGGAGTTCATTATGGCTGGGGCCAGATGCTTCAGAGCAAGATGTAAGAGGCTGTCAGTTGGCCATTGTCTATTAATCGGTTTATAGGAGAAGCATCTTTCCAGCCTCAGGTGGCTGCTGGTTGTTGGCTCTTTTTTTCCTTTAAAGCCCTGGAGCTTATTACTTCTCACTTCATCAGTTGTTACCCTGTTTTATGTTACTCATTGCTGCAATCTTTATCTTCTTTTTTTGAAATAATCTCTAAGCACTGGATGCATTTTTGATCACTTCAGTTCCACAAAGCACCTAACATGGTCTGTTTCCTCTACAGACTCCAGTTATTAGTTTTCATTCTGGAGATCAGCCCTTTGCATCCTGTGTCTGAAGGGGAGGGGTTGTCGTACTCGAATAGCTTGTGTGAGCGTAAAATACAGCTCTAATCACAAACGAGAGATGAAATGGTGCACTGTGAAATTCCCCTCCCCATCTCATACCTTCCTGTTCATATGTGGGCTGTTTGAAGTCAAAATGCACAAGTCTAGGAAGGAGCAGGCTCCCACTGTCTTGACATGGGGCGGTCTGGTTGTAATACGTCATACTCAAGGTTTTACTTTCTTCTTTATCTTACTGCATGGTGATCTAGCAATGGAGCATGGGATTATTTTGGGTTTTTTGCATTGCTGGTACGAGCTCTGGCTCTCAGTTAATAAAGAAGAGATCTGAGAAGGCATGGAAGTCATCACTCAGCAGAGCAAATTTCTGGTTTAAATCTTGCCCTTTTCTGTCGGTGATAACCTGCTGGCTCAGTTTTACTATGCTGTGAGGGAAGATGGTGCAAGAGAGCTGTTGTGAAGCCGCAGCGGCAGTTCTGGGTGATCTGGAGCTGTTGCTTTTTGTCTGTACAATCACTTCTCCTGTGCTTTAATATGCCTGCTTTCTATTTTTTTTTATATTTCTCCTGAATCATCAGTCTTTTAATCTGCTTAATCACACTAGAATCATCTCTATATATTGGCTTTTAAGCACTTAAATTATAAAAGTCTGTTAAGCGCAGAGGGAAACCCTGCCATCTGCTGCAGTCTAAAATAGTTTGGATGCAGGAGGAAACTTCTACTTCTCATAAATCATTGTTACATAAATTATTCCTGTATTTGTATTGCACAAGTTGGTCTCCTTTTTTTAATGCTGTGTAGGCTTTGCATGAGGGCCAGGGTGTAATTTCAGTCTCTGCTCCCCAGGTGCCCATATACGAGCTGCAGAATGACGGCCGAGCCAACCTGCTGGGGGCACTGCTGTTTGCTGGGCAGTTCGTGATTCCCGAGGTCTGTTTGCTGTGAAGACCATCTCGGAAGCTGCTTCCCTCCCTCTAGCCAGAGTGTACCCACATACCCAAACTATCCGATAGGCAGTAAGGAAGGCACTTAAACAGCAAAATAAATGGATTCCGCTGAGGTAACGGGTGCTTGCATGGCGAAGCATGTGCCATTTTCTCAGGAGTTATATCCCATTTTGCCTGTATACAGTCTGTAAAGACTATCAAGTCTAAGATGTAGCTTGCAGCAGACTTGAAATCAAAGGTTCCTTGGGAAATACGTGGGATCTGAAACACCAGTAAGTCAGTTTTTACTTGAAAGTTACTTTGAAGCTCTAAAGTTTCTCTGGAGCTGGTAGTTCATGAAGCCTGAATTGTCATGGATGAAACACCTAATGGGCATGGAAGTACCTCCATGGTCTCAGCACTTTTTAAAGATGTCAGTGCTGTGCAGCCTGAAAATCAGAGAGGAAACTGGTCAGGTTACACCTCGGTCCACTTCTGCCATGCCCCCAAAGCCAGTTCCTGTAAGACAACAGCAATAGCTGATGGGCCAAGAACTTAATAACCAGTAACAACTTTGAGGTATCTCTTCTCCTTCAAATGCCAATTAACAAGCTTTAAGGGATTTGAGAAGGAACCTAGTTATTTGGTAAGTGTTTTGAACAAAACCAGGCCTAAGGTTTTGGACTCTGCATTTAGATGTAACTGATGAACTTATTAAAAAGTCCATGCTGTTTCTTCCCTCTGCCTCTGAAGTGGACTCAGGCAAATTTGCTGCGTCCTCAACTCTGCCTTGTGAGAGGATTATGAAACTGGTTAGCTCTTAACTTGTTTTGTTCTTAAATTCTTAAACCAGTGTGTGACAGATGTGCCAACGCTTTTTGAAAGGGTAAGAGTTGTAAACATCTACTGGCCTCTGAGCCACTTTAAAGATTTAGAAAACACTTTAGAAAGGACGGACTGCAGTATTTATCTCCTGAATCTTTTAATTACTGGCTTATTCATAGACCTGTTTCTTTACTTGTCTTGCAGGTGTGCCTGTATTTTTATAATAAACTGTACAGGGGAAATAGGGTGACTAAGGTGGATGCTGGGAGTTTCAATGCCTTTTCCTCACCTAACCTGCCTCCACTTGCAAATGCTGAGGTTGATATTACAAGTAAGCAACATCATCTCTTAAGCCTTGTAATTTATGCCACATGCAGCAGGACTCCAGCTGAAAAGAATCTGTGCCGATGCAGTTGAAATGCTGGTTTTAAACTCGGATATCTTTGAAAGCCCTGTAGCTTGACTCCACTTTATCTGCTTTGAAACTGCTTAAATAGTACTAAATATTACTAATTTGTGACTCAATGCATTTGTCTGTAGGATATAGATGTGAGTTAGGCTGACTTGGACTAAGGATCCAGGCTGACCAGAGGGAGCACTGCCCCTTGTCTTGAAAACGCTCGCTCCGAAGATAAAAATGAGGGAGGGAGGACTGAAAGAAGAAAGAGATTAATCTTTGTAATGACTGTTCTGGGCTCCAAAATCAAGCAGAGGAGTCATTGCAGAGTGCTTGCAGCTTCAACAGATTCTGTTTGATGCGTGTCACTGTGTAAGGTGTTTTACTGGGTATTTAGGACCTGTCTAAATTGCAGAAGAGCAGACCTAGGATTTGTGCTGTGTGAAGGTTTTTTTCCCCCCCCAAACTTCATCGGGCTCCCTATAATTTCTGTCTCTTTTTTAAGAAGGGGGAAAACTACACGAAGATTTCAGTACCCATTTGCAGAGTCATAGACACATTGCTGTCTGTTCTTAGATAAATAGCAGAGGGGAGAAGAGAGACATGTTGGGAATCTGTTGAGGACTTGCCAAAAAACATACTGAAGTGCAGCTTTAAAAAATACACCATGTTATGCAAGCTGCATTTGGGTAGGCGAGGTATCTTGAGAAGGAGGAGGACTTGGTGACAACCTCCATTATTACCAAAAAAACAGGAATAAGGTGTTCCCAAGTTCTCCTGGTAGGTGCCATTGGTGGCAGTAGGAGATGCAGCCCTGTGCCATGCAGTGAGTCGTTCTCTATGGTTTCTATCACTGGAGAGAGGCAGTCTGCAATTTGGGAAAATAAACTTATCCCTTCCTGCTAATGAGGGTGAGTTACTTAATTAAGTTTGGGGATCGTAGTGCTGTGTCTGTAGCAGCCAGCTACAAAGTGAGGAAGGTGTGAAAGGACATCTCTTGGGTAGAGTCTGCCACTGCTGTATGACAGTGCTGGGTGAAATACGGTGTGTCTGAGATCAGCAGAAATGTTGTCAGCTGAACGTTGCAGTAAATTGAGGAGAATCTTCCTTCTTGGGTTTTTATGAACTGCAGCAAATAGGGTACACAGAAATTCCGTTTACTGACCGATCAATGATGAAATCAAGCTGCAAATTGCATGCTATTTCTTTGATTTGAATGAACTGTTCTGTGATTCCTCGTCTGTGGTAGAAAAATGAGAGTTACGAAGCACTTCCCTCAGCCCATGTTGGTCCCATTACCGTTTCAGCAGAATGCCCCATTGAGATCAGTGGGGATTTGTGGTTTAAAACCTGGTGGTGTGAGAGGCTCTATTTCGGCTTGTTTCAGCTGATTACCCAGTTAGGGTGGCATCATCTATCCAAGATGACAGTGTCACTATTGAAGGATTGTTTCGTTTTGAAAAAACATAGCTTATAGCATGAGCAATCTACTCGTACAGCTTTATTTTGTCCAAAGTAATAGTTTGAAACGTCGCTGTCTCCCTTGAGTTTGCTGGTACCATCCTCGTGCGAGGCTTTCATGGAGACAAGGAACCACCTGGGCTTTTAAAAACAAACCAAACCAATCTACATCTCTTAAGTTTGGTTGCTTTTAACGCAGCTTTGTATAATACATCTTATTCATCCTGCAGACAGGGCTGACTCTTGCTGCCTCAGCGTTTTGGAGAGCAGCCTGAGGGTGCCGGGAGGAGCAGGCCACGTGCAGCAACTCCTCCTTTGCTTCCCAGGTTTAATGAAACTGGGAATGGAAATCCCAGAGAAGCAGCAGGGAAGACGTGATGGATGGAGTGGGGAGTGTAATGGGATCGTGGGTTGGTACCAGCAATGAGGAGAGGATGTGCTGTTTGAGGCTTGGCGCACCATAGAAAAGCAATGATCTCCTGGGGAGCCAGAGAGGAACCCGAGTCCCTTCCCTTCCCTAACTGCAGCTCTTTGTTTTTGATACCCATTTCTCACCCTGTAAGGCTCCCAGTGGATTTCTGATCCCATCAGCTGGCTGTGTTCTTGCCCAGATCCTTAACTGTGCTGGCAACATCCAGGAGTCCTGTTACCCAGTTTTAGATGAGCGAGTGTGTCGCCTTCCTCAAGACTCTCAGTTTAGCACAAGTGAAGAATTCCTGCCCCTTCCTGAGATGAGTAAGAAACCCAGTGCCTTTGGGAAGTACTTTCACAGCAGACTTTGAAACCTCTGTATGAAATGGACAATGTAGAAACAACCAAAAATATTTCTAAAACCTTAAAGCTTGTCAAAGGGAAGACCTTGCCTTATTTCTCCCACACTTTGAAAACGGGAAAGACGAGGAGGACTATTTCACTTGAGATGTGTAAGGAGTCTCAATGCGTTTCATAACAGATCGCTCTGTTGTCCTAATGAGGCAAATACGAAACTAGCTGTGCTACCAGGCTGGGCTTTCCTCATTGCACACGTGTGTCCCCGCTGGGAGCGGTGCACATGGGCAGGACACGCGTGCAGGGGACGCGCAGAGCCCACGTGGCCGTGCGCGCAGATGTGATGCAGCAGCAGCAGGTTAGGAGGCCTTGTTGGGCTTGTTTACCCACAGTTTCATTAGAGAGAAGCTGTTCATCACTGGCCAAGTCTACGTCTTGGTTGGCAGTTCTGGGTATTTACAGTAAAAAGCCCAAGTCGTCGATATATTAAGGCAAATACCAGCTCTCCTCACTCAAGCGCTGTTGGTCCCCCCCTCCCTTGTAAGTCAGCGTGTTCATTCCTGCAGCGACACCATCCGATTTAAATATTCCCGTCCAAAGGCGTGTGTCGATGGTTTTGTAACACACTGCCAAAAAAGGGGTCGATTTTTGTTTGCCTCCCTCCGCAGTCTGCAGCCATAGGTTGGCCTGTGGTCCCCACCCCTTGGCCGCTGCCGTGCATCGTGATGAGCACTGGGGCACCCTATATAATGCTGAGGGGTGAGGAGAGAGCGCTGCTGTTTGTCTGCAGCTCTGCAAGCCCCAAAAGCCGTATTTCTTGTTTGATTTCATAACCCGCAGCTCAGTCACCACTCCTAAGGGAGGTGTCGCTCTCAGTTGCTGCTCTCCCTTTAGAAGTTGAAACCTGCTTTGTGACATAGGCACTATCAAAAAAGGGGGTTTGGTGGGGGTTTTTTGCTGCTTTCTAAAGTGTTTAGAGCTGCTTCTCGTCTTTAATTTTAATTTTCAGTCAGGATGATGTTTTTTCTGTGCTAACCCAAACACCATCCATAGCTCTCTGCATGTGTGTGAATGAAGCTGAATAAGAGAGGGACGTATTTTTGAGCTGAAATTTAAAAAGCTGTAGTATTTGGTAGGGAGGTGGAGATTGGCAATGGCAGAATGTTGTTTATGGGATTATTTTGTTTGGTTGAATAAACAAAAGGCCTTACACTATCTTGAATGCAGTCTCCCTGAATAATGCAATCTTTCTATCCCAAGCCATTTTGGATATAGCATATAGATAGCCATTACCTCTTTATTTTATGTGCATTGCTTTAAAAACTTGCTGCTGTACCAGACCAGTAGCTATCTTACATCTGTTCCTCAGCTTTGTGTCCCTGTTTACGCAGTGCAGTGCGCTCTGTCAGTTAAACTCCTTACAAGTGCAGGCCATCCAAGCCAGAACAGGCTGCTGTTTTGTGTTGTGCCAACACTGAGTATCCCTAATTAGTCACTCTTAGGATAAAAACCTGTTATGAACACCGACATATACAGCTTTTTGTACATGAGTTTCTTACCTAAGAACTTAAATTGTTAAAGTTTGTTTAACAAAACGGTTGCTGTGTGGTACGACCATAGGCTGCAGTAGAGCAGGTTTATCCAGTACGATGAAGATGCTTGAACTTCGCTATGCAATGTAAATATTCTTCATTTTTGGGATGTAATATCTGAGATGGAGGATGCCAAGAATGTGTTCTGATTTTCTTCATCTGGGATGAAGACGGGTTTTCCTGTATATTTGTTTGTCGTTGGCTCTTGCATCCCACTTTGAGACTCTGTGTGTCTAATGGAGAGCTGCCATCGGGGGAGCCTGCAGCAGCGAGCGTGCTGTGCAGGATGGTGGGGTTCATCACCCAGAGAATGTCATTTCAGGGACAGTCTTCTTGCTTTTTAATACAGGTTGCAGTTACATCACTGAACTGTGTCTGCATGCATTGCATTTATCGTGATGACTACGTTATTTGGTAGAGCGTACTCCAGGAGCACAGGTATAGGCCTGGCACGGGTCTGACTTCTGAACCCGTCCTCTGATCTGTCTCCTTGGTCTTCCGCTTTTGGCAGTGTCTTGGTGACCCATGCCAGGGCAGGTTTCCTCGGTTCAATCTTCATTACAGGCATTAGGGATGCCAGCAGCTGCCAAACTTCACAGAATGCATTTGGAAGGTTTTGGCAGGGACTCCCAGCTCAGGGAGGATAAAGGAAAGAGAGCTCCAATACAGTTTTATTGCCATCCCCTCTTGTAGAGGAGGCTGCTTTAAAAGAATTAATCTGTGTGTTAGACATTGAAAGCATTGGATTTATTGCTAAACACTGCTGCTGCTTAAAGCTCAGTGCTCAGGTGTGAACGTGGTTGGCCAGGCCTGTGAATGTTGAGCAGGACAAATGCACAGCTTTCTGCACCCTGCCATGTACCTCCTGCTTGCTGTGGGTTTTTGTTGGAATTTTTTAGGAATCCGCTCGCTGATGTGTGGCTGGTTGGGCACACACGATGCCAAGCCAACTGCTCGTGCCCAGTTTAATGACTTATGGTATTCTTTTAGAAAGAAGGCACAGAGGCTGTAGTTGCTGACAGAGCAGCATGACAGGAAAGTTTGTAAAGTCTTATAGGTGACCTCTGCTTTCTGTCCTGACTTAATAGGTTGTGTAGTTTTTAGTATCTCTGCAACAGAGGAGGCTTCAACAGAGGCTTTTAAATGTACTCTGAATTTTCTTGCAAATGCCTGTCTGCCGATTGCAAGAGATTGCAGCAGTAATTGGTGTGAGTAACTCTCTGCATGGCTGAGAGCAAGTCGCTATTATGCACGCAGATCTTTTATCTGTCTTGCTGCTTGGGAGTTTCTCCAGAACCTAAGAAGCTTAAATCCTGATGGGGAAACACGCAGCTTTACAGCACAGTCTGCTTTCATCGAAGCCTGACGCTGTGAGCTGTTTGCTGTTTGTTAAACCTCTTCGCTACCTCGCAGGAGCCGTCAGCGCTCCCAATGCTGCGCTCCTGCACTGAAAGCAGGGAAATTTTGAAATCAATAATGCATGACTTGGCTTCTAATAATGCAACACAAACAAACTATTAGTTAAACAGCTGGCTTCTGGCTCTAAATGTATAATCAGAGTTAATTGAATCCTTGCTATTTTATTTAATCGTTAGTAACTACCTAATAAACTCTGGAGGTGATTAGCGGCAACAGTAACTGCATTTGTCATCTCTCATGTCTGGGAAGATGAAGGTCTGGTTTCTGAACATGAATCCAGGCCAAGTACACAACAGCGAGGTTCAGGTCAGTTTGGGACCGGTGAATACCTCACCTGGGCTGGACCTGTGCGCTGCTCTGCTGGGGCTTTCTGAACGGGAGAGTTGGTACTAACAGGATATGTTCAGCATTGTGAACCCCTTGGGTCTGGTACTCGGTGCTTTTTCACAGCTGAAGAGGATGCAGTGGAGTTATACAACTGTGAAGGATCATCCTGTTCACTCGTGGGCATCAAACTAACTACCCATTTTGGAAGTCTTTGCTATGAAATGCCATTAAATTGAAGTATACAAGTTAAGTATCTCCTTGAAGAGCACTAACTCAGAAGTATTGATGAGTAATACTGGTATATTTCAGAATCTAGACTATTCTGGAATTAAAACTGAAATATAACACAGTTGAGTCTGAGCTGGATGTGGCATGAGGACAGATTTAGTGGTAGCCAATAAATAAGATGTGTTAGATCAGCGGCTGTGGCTGCTGCCTCAAATGGGCCTTCATTTCCTCTTTTGGAAATACGTTGTCTATCATGAATCCTTAACATGAACAGTTTTAAAGACAATGTTGTAAGTATGAAGTGCCACAAGTGTACTTAATATTATGTCTTAATGTTAATTTTTTCTCTTTAACAGTAAACTGGGAAACGGTGTGGAGAGCCAACACCAAAAAGAAATTTCGAGTTCACACCAACATGAACAGGAACGTTGGGCTTCTGCGCATCTTCCCGGGGATCACCGCTGCTGCTGTAAGTGTCGCCACCGCGCTCTGGAGGTGGGAGAAGCGATGTTCAAATACGTGATCAGTTGGGAAGGTAGGGAAGCTGCTTTGCTGTAGCAGTGCTTGGGGTTTGGGAGGGAAGGGAGAGGATTTGGTGTCTTCTGAGAAACATTTTTGGAATATCAGAGGATTCAAAGACTCTTTTCAGATGCTGTAAACTGTTCATAGAGTGATTTGGGTGGGAAGGGACCTCAAACCCCCCAGTCCAAGCCCCATGGGCAGAGACACCTCCACCAGCCCAGGCTGTTCCAAGCCCCGTCCAACCTGGCCTTGGGCACTGCCAGGGAGGGGGCACCCACAGCTTCCCTGGGCAGTGTGGGCCAGGGCCTCACCACCCCCATAGTGAAGAACAAGCTTAACAAAAGCTTTTCAAATATCCTAATATCTAAACTGCCTGGGCTCTAAAACTTAAAACTAATTTCTAGGTCATGCATGCTTTTCTAGCCAGGTGCAGGCTGCAGTGACCATGGAAATGCTCTCTTGCTGCATATTGAGGCATGGTAATAGATATCAAAGAATACACACAGTGGTGGGAGGAGGGGAGTGTGACCATTTCTATGACTCGTGCTTCTTTATTAAGGTTCGTTTTGTCTCCCACTGATGGGTAACGTGGCCCTCAGCACTCATACAGAGCTGGAAATGAGGAGTGGGATTTTTTTTTTGCCTTGATAAATTATTTTGCTGAAGCGTGGCTTGAGGTAGATTTGTCTTTAAATTTTTGTGAAATACAGGTTCCATTAAACTGACAGGTCTTTTGTGGCTGTTGCCATCTTAAATTGAATCCAGTAGTTTAAGCAGCACTCCTCAATTATATTACCATTCTTTTTAGCTGAATATGAACAGATGGAAAGGCAGAGGGGTGGTATATTTGCAATAAAACTCCAACTGCATAGTTAGCCTCATGGGGGCTTACAGTGTATTGCCTTTAGCATATGTGATCAGCAAGGAAACGGCGAGGTTGTTTGAAATACATCCTTCTAGGAAAAGGACTTTGCTAGGCATCTTCATACAGTGAGCCACAATAGCTGCCTCGTTAACAACTGGCCCAGGATGAATTAGTGCCTCCTTTTATTTCCTATCTTGGGTTAAATCAATGGAGTTTTGAGTTAAAAAACCTCCAGGCTTCATTAGAATATTTTTTCCTGAAAGGTGAGGCAGTCTTTCTCTTGGTTAGGCAGACATTTGTTAACAAAACTCTGCTAAAGTAACAAATCTGGGCAGGGGTGGGGCTCTAATCTCAATTAATAATCCTGCATTTATTTCGTAAGTGTAAAGCTACCCCTTTGTTCCGCCGTGGTGCAACAGCGTAGCCTGTTAATGGCACTGGAACAATAGCATCCTTTTTCACACTGAGGTCATGACTGTGGAAAATGGCTTATTTTAAAATCCAGCCCTCTAGGAATTTCACAGGAAGCTAAAGAGGGAAATTCTGATGGTTTTTTTTCAAAGCTTATTGTACAGCCCCAGTTATTGCGGATGGGGAGCACAGAAGGACGTGAGAAGACTGTAAGGCACGAGAGTCTGCAAGAATATAACAGGAACAGGCCGTTTTTAAAGCTCTGTGTAAGCCTTACTGTGACTGAAACACGTCCCTTGTCTCTGTCTTGTTTTCAAACAGGTAAAAGCATTTCTCCAGCCTCCCATCGAGGGAATTGTACTTGAGACCTACGGGAGCGGCAATGCCCCGAACAACAGACAGGACTTGCTGGAGGAGCTGAAGAAAGCGACCGAGCGCAGGGTGGTGATCCTGAACTGCACGCAGTGCTTGCGCGGCTCCGTCAAAATGGTCTACGCGACCGCGCAGGTGAGGGCTGCGCCGGAGAACGTCCCCCCGGTACCTCTTGGTTGTAGGCTTATAGTAGTCGCTGTGTATAAAACCCCATCTTTTGAACTCTACAGATACTGCTCATAAAGTAACCGTATCAGAAAAATCTGAAGCTGGAAGCATTTAAATACACATCTGCAAGCAGGGTCTTGCTACTCCTAGTCTGAAAGGTCAAAATAGTCAGTTCAGACCCCAAATCAGTGGTTGCTTGCACCCCATTGGATTGGTAGCGTCTCTCCCAAAGGGATTCCACTGAGCTGGAAGATGGCTAACTAGGATCAGATGATAAATAAAGTATGATTTGATAGTGCAGGAGTTACTGAGCTGCAATGCAAGAACATCAAGAAAGCCTGCAAATCCAAGCAGTATTCCAAATCCCAGGTTTTTGTTTGACTGGAAGCACAGCTGAATTCAGTGGGAGATTGGAGAACTGTATGTGGGGAAGTGTCTGTTGTGCAGGGTGGGAATCAGTTGAGTTTAACCCCTAAAGGTGAGCTTAGAGCAGACTTTGAGTAGATACTGTTAATATTCAGGGCATTTTATAGTGAGTTTCTAACTTGTGTATTAAGACATCACTGGGGTTAATAAGAGCTGAAAGCCATACTGGAGAATGTGGTAGTGTGAAGGAAGCTGGTTTAGCTGGCCTTTATAAAACAGTGTAGCCATTAAATAACCAAGCAGCACTGCCAGGGGGTGACTCACCCCTTGTTTTAGACACTTGGGTTTTTGGGAGCAAGCACCCGTCTGACAGAGCCAGGCTCTTCACTGGCTGTAGGACAGACCTGGGTACTCCAGTCTGGTGCTGAAACCGGCCTCCTAACACAGCTTTTGATGCTGCTTTCCATTGTATTTGCTTCAAGAACACGTAGTCTGTTTTGAGGAGAGAGAAAAAGAGATTGTAAGACTTTCTGCCCACCTCTTCAGTATCCAAACTCGCTATTTTCTGGTATGGGCAGGCATCTGGGTGTTAATGGAGATGTTTTGGGAAGTATTAACTTGCAAAGATCCCATGCCTTGTAGTAAATACAATAGGCATACAGGGAGATAGAAAGCAGTTCATATGGAAGGGAGAAATCAGTTACGTCAATATAAGACACCAAACTTGCATTTGAAAAACAGGAAAATGAAGCCTAGCTTCTATGTGATCTTCTGCTTGAAATGAACTGCTGAAATGTATGGAAGGAAGAAAAAAACCTTTTTCTATGTTCTAGTTGAAGTTTTCTCCAAGTAGACCCCTCTAAAAGGGCTTTCTGCACCCTGATCCAGCCTGTGGTCATGCCGAATTGAGGGATTCTGCTCAGGTTTTCCTGACCCACTGCAAGGCTGTGGGGAAACGAGTTCACTTCTGCCCTCCCCTTTTTACATGGAGCATGTGTTGTGTTGCTTCAGTGACCACTGATGGAGGCTGCCCAGTTTTCTTGGTGTCTCTTGAGGAAATCACTGACAGGGCCAAGCCCTGCAGAATTCCTTCATGCTTTTGCTTTCGTTGCCTTCTCCTTTTCATAAGGGACTGCTCAGTGGGGGAAGTACCGTGAGTGAATGCTGGAACGTGGCCGCAATGCTGACTTCATTCTGAATTTTCTTTAAATACAGTCTTTTCTGGCACGTGGCTAGGCCGTTTTTCACTCATTGAGGTGGGCCCCCTGGTTTCCCATTTGTTTTAATTCACCGAATATCTGGCCTCTGATCCATCTGAATGGTACAAAATGGTACAGAATGGAAGGGACTTCAGGTATAGGAAGGAAGCCAGGAAATCCCTTCCTCCTCCTCTTTCTCAATCCCACAGATAAAGTCCCAGCTGTTCTTCGGCGAGCTCTGCAGTGCAGGAAGCATTTCTCACCTGCTCTGTAGATGCTTTCCCATGGGTCTTTTAAAAGTTTTCCTCTGGGGCCCTTGGTGGTACTTAATGAGCTGATCAAGGCTCTGTGTCTTGCTAAAGCTAAGTCACAACAGGTTTTGAAGGTGAAGTTTATATACAAAAGTAAAATGCAGTGTAAAAAACTTAGTGCAAGATGCTTAACTGCAAGGCATCATCATAGCAAAGATGATGAGCTGTGGTTTGGAGAAGCCCAAGTGTTTGCCCAGGTACAATTTAGTGACAAGATCTCAAGTGCCCTTTGTCTTTGTGCCTTGTTCACTGTACACTTACCAGCATCGCTGACCATTGCAAAGATCTTTTTGCTTTGGTTCACGTAGCTTTATTTTTTCACCTAGCAGAAAGCCAAGTTTAAAAGGTCGTCTTTTTCAGTTTTCTTGTCAGGGCTGTGTAAATTACATACTTTAGTTTTATGTCCTAAATCATAGACTGCTAGCGCAGCCTGAAAGGATCTGAAAGCGCTCCTGCTGTGAGCACGCCGGAGTGCTGGAATTCATCCAAAGCAGAGCCCATAAAAGAATGGTAAATAAGCCTGTGTGAGCACAGCCTGCTTGGCAGTGTTCAAAATGCCACTAGGTTAAAGCAGAGGAACGGCAGCTCTGCAATAAAGGGGATCTGACAGCTCTGCAGATAGCTGATACGGACCTGTAACCTTTCCCTCTTAGCATAGGAAGTGGCCGTGGCAAGCGCTTGGTTGAATTCTTCAATGTTATTGCATGGAAAGGAATTTAAAGGAAAAGTCATCTTTATTCAGCCGGCTCGAGTGTTTGCCGGTACTTGATAACTAAAATTGCACAAGTGACAGTGGCAGTAGGAGGAGCGAGAGCGCGGCGGCACCGCTCCACGCTGTGCTCTGTGTAGCTGCTCATCGCTCGTACACGTTTCCTGTCCACGCAGGTATTTCTGAACGCCACGCTAACTGGAGTCATTATCCCTTTTTATTCAGACTCTCGCTGATGTCGGGGTAATTCCTGGAGGAGATATGACACCAGAGGCGGCCCTCGCCAAGCTGTCGTACGCGCTCAGCAAGAGCAAGCTGAGCTGGGAGGAGAAGAGGCAGGTAAATATTTCAGAGCAACCTTGCAAGGCTTGAACTTCTGCTCAGCTGAGTGCCTTCAGCTTTCCCTTGCATTCAAAGGCAATTTGTTCCAGAGCCGTAATGTGAACACCACATGGGTTTTTTTCTCTTAAGGAAAATACTCTTAGGCAAATGAACCTACATAGACTGGGAGGGAAAAGAATTGTCTGCATAAGTCAGGTGCAGACTGACCGAGCCATAAAAATGCCATCTTTAAATAGTAGTAGTCTGCCTTAGAATAGCAGTAGTGTAGTAGTAGTCCACCCATATGTGGAAATTCTCATGGAAGACAGAATCCCAGCCCTGCTGAATTCAGCAAAGATCTTGTCATTGATCTCCATGTGGTGAAGACTTCACCCGAGGCTCATTGACACAAAGCTAATTCTGAAAATAAATATTGCCTACAGCCTCTTCCTATACAGCTTTACACAGGACAGTGTTACGGTTTGTTTCTCAGAGAGGAGATACACTTTATAAATACATAAAAAATAGAGGATTATTCTGAGAACCAGTTGTGACTGATTTTAAAATCATAACCCCTTTAACAGTGTTCTTACTGTTCATTGGTGTTTAATCAAGGCTTTTTTCCTCAAATTACCCAGTGATACACCATGTTCTGTTGATGCAGGGAGCACATAGCTCTGAGTTAGCCTGCAGGAATGCAGAGTTTCTGTGCTTGTGTGCAGTGAATCCATAACCCTGACTTTGGGGGGTGACATCACGGTGAGTCACGCTCCAGACTTGGGCACTGCACGCAGCCGTGCATCTTGTGGTGCTTTGTTTTTATTAAAACTGAAACAAATCTGACTGCTGTTTCATGCTCGATATTTTTCTGAGCAGTAGCAGCTCCTGAGACCAACACATTTGGATACCTGTGATGGTACGTGGGGCAGCTGGCAAGTACCACCGACCCTGCTTAGAAACAGCTTCAGACTTGGAGCTTTCGGTTGTTTGCTAAAGCCCTGGCTCTGAAAAATGAGAGGAGGAGGAGCTCTGTGTTGTTTCAGTGAGGATGCAAGAACATGTTTGGCAGCAACACAGTGCTGTGTGAGGAGCAGTGGTATCACGTGTCTGTGTATATACCCTTTGGAAACACAGGCTCTTCACTGCTGCCCCTTTGGTACTCGCTGACCCTGGAACATGCATCTGGTTTTTTAATGCAGACTTTAATCTTCTTGCACTGAGGATTATTTGACCTGGGACAGAAGAATCTTTCCCAGCTGGCTTCCTGCCTAGGTGTGTGAGTGAAAGCTCAATTTGCAATCCAGTTTGAGATGAGATAGCTGACACCCTCAGGTGAGGACTTGGTGATGTTTTAGGTACCGCTGACACACGGTGCTCCTGCATCTTCATGTGCCACACGGATTTTGTGTGGTGGTGCTGGGAGCTCCTTTATATGGTTTGAGAAACAAAACAACTTTTGCAATTTGAGTTGGGCAGGATCGTTTTCCTCACTTGACTCATTGTGCAGACCCACAAACAATTGTGTTGGCGCAGCTCAGGGAGCAGCACGCAGCATTGCCTGGGCAGGAACGAGTGGCAGAGACCAGGAGAAAGAAGAAAGGCTGGAAATATGTTGTCTGTGGCAATATCTCCAGCTAAACATATCACCAAACAATAGTCTCCCAAGAGACGGAAGCTCTCCTGAAGCCGGCGTGGTTATTTTAGGCTTCTCTTTCAACACGAAGCAGCAAGGAATGTGCCCCCAGACACAGGCAGACGGATGAGGAGCTGCTGGGGCTCTGCGCTGGGTGCATTTAGCACAGGTGCCAATTGCTAAGGTTACCTGAGCAAAGCAACGGGCAAAACCCATCGGGCTCTAAGCGTGTGCCAGAGCAGTCGGTGTCCTCCGAGTTAAGCGTACGTGGGGCTCTTCCAGCAGACAGCTACGGCGTTGTCAGCGCTCCGAGTTGTTGGGTTTTTTAATAAAGGGCATGCCGAGACATAAGTGAACCTGGGGCATTCCTCCTTCCACCAGCACATCTGTTTCTTGCGAACTTTCACAATCCCGCTTTTTAAAATTCAAATTGGAATGACTCTGTGCTTTAGAGCTGCATCAGCAACCTTTCATGAAAGGGTGCCAGGCTGTGAAATGGGCAGAGCTGAGGAAACCAGGTGCTTTTTCTTAATGACTGGGCTGCTCTCTCTGCTCTCCAGGTTGCCCAGCACCTGTCTGTTGAAATATTTTCATTTCTTTATTGCCATGTTAAGGCACTTTCTACACACGCATTGGCTGACCTTCTTTGGGCTTGGTTGGTTTTGTCCTGGTTGTATTGGATGCACCCATCCTGCAAACAGTTACACACCAGCTTTAATCCTGAGTGGCTGGTACTACCATAGACTCTGCATTCAAAGCTGGCCCTATGGCCAAGTTTTAACAAAATAAGGCCTAGTGGAGCTGTTTGAAGATCCACTGCACTCCATGGGCATCCACAGCAGCGCTGGGCTGTTCTGAGGCCGTGTACTGGGTCTGTGTGGAGCACTGAGGTCTGGGACTGCTGACACCAGGCAGCATTTTGGAATATTCTGGTCCCCAGCCTCACTCTATTTACTCGCTATCTCTGTGTGTTGAAGGAGGCTGCAGCTTACCCCACCAGGGAGCTTTTGTCTGCATGCTCCAAAAATTGGGGTGTTTTGTTCTCTGCTTATTTTGGTTTCTTTGCTTTGGAAGAAAGTTTTATTTGCCTGTTCCTTCCTCCCCTGCCTTTGTCTTTTCAAACTTGCAATCTTCATGGGACAGTAACTATTTCTTTCCTCTTTTGTCTGCGTTCAGTTAGTTTCCATAATTCCTCCAAACAGTTTTCTAACTTGATCCTATGGTTTTTCCGTACTTTTCCTCTGCTAACACAGGCTTTGCTTGCTTGCTTTGCAGATGCTGAGCGAGAACCTAAGAGGAGAAATGACTGTTGTACCCACAGGAGCCAAGATCTCCCTGAGAGATAGCAAGTTTATTCAAGTGATTGCCAAATCTCTGAGTATCAGCAGCAAGGAGGTATATACTTAAATATTTAAAAGGGAGCTCGTGTAAAGCTGTGAACTGGGTTAAGTGAACCTAGCTTGAAGATGAAGAGCAAAGCTGGAAGACAAATGGCACACTTAGGCTCTTGTATTATTTTTTTAGTACTGAGTGTCCCAGCTAACCAGTTGGGTTAGGGAGAAAGGACACAATGACAAGCGTAACACCAATGTGTTTTCAATTAAAAGCCTATTAACTTTTTTTTTCCTCTTCGTAGCCGCATCTTGAGTTTATTTTCCTGGCTGGCTGGTTGCAATAACAAGCCTCAGACAGTTGCTGTAATTCAGGGTATCAATGATATGAAAAAGTGCTTTGTATTTTTGTGGTCAAATGTATTGACAGTTTGGAGCAATCCAAATAATGACAGGTAAAACAGCTGAGTTGTACTCCAGACATAGGAAACTAATACAAGGGAAGCACTACACAAGTGTAACTTGTAATGCTCAATATTGGTCCCTCTTAGTTGGAAAATCAGAAAATATACAAGATAGACACAGGTATTTGCTTTCTCTTGGCTTGGTTTCAGGGAAGATGGGATTTTTAGCAGCTAACTAATATTGAATATATGAGGATTTCTTAGTAAGTGTCAGAAATGGGAGGATATTTAGGAGGCCGATGGGGTTTGTCAGTGGAGGTTTGGAAGCGCAAGTTACCCAAATATCCGAGAAATCACATGGATAAAGTCGATCCAGTCTGGAGGAGACCAGATTGTGTGGCTCTTCCCAACTCCTACCAGTGCTGTGTCTCTTCCCAGTACAGAGATGGTAATGAGTGCACACCTGAATGGTGAATACAGATATCAGGTAAATGTAGTATTGCCAGAGAGGAATAGAAATCCTCATGGATCTGAGACCAACAATATGTAAAAGAAACATGAGACTTCTTTCCTCCCAAGAACTAAATGCTGCCACTTCTAAATAACCAAATGACTAATTTGAGAACTTCACATGAAAGCAAGGGCAGTGTTTTTATGACGTGGGCATCAATCGTATTAGAGGTGAGGCTGGTATTAAGTGTTTAATTTTATTTGTTTCTCAGGAGTTGGAAGCCGTAAGAGACGCATTAATTCCACCTTTGGCTTGTGCTGCAGCTAAACTGGGTGACGTAGATGCGCTGAGAGCCATAGCAGAAATGGTAATGTAAAATGAACACTTTAAAACACAAATTTTGAAGTGACGGGAGGAAGCTGCGCTCACTGGGAAGCAGCCACCTAAGTCTTAAAATCCAGGTGCTTTGAGTAATTCAGTTGGTTTCCAGGCTTCTCCGTCTCTGCCTTTCAAAACTGGTATGGTCTTTGCCCTACCTGCTTCTCAGCTGTTTACATTTTCTTTTGAACTGAGAAAATCTAGGTAGATTAAAATGCAAATTCTTATCTGCTAACTTTGGAACACTTTAAAATGGTTTGTACCGCTTTCTTTTGCTTAACTGACTTTATGCATATTCATATTACCCAGCTTTTGGATGTAAATCTATCATGATGAAAAAAAAAACAACAGAGAGAACTTGAAAATTATATTTAAGCAAAACACCGTGCAGTGCTAACTCAGGATTTTTGACTCTCCCCATAGCCCTGGCTTGGGTTATACCTTGAAAAAGAAAGAGGCATTTCCCTGTATCATATTCTACACCTCTTTTTTTATATTTGCTTTGGTTTACCCTGCTCTTGAGACTTTAGTAATGGGCCTCCAGAAAGGAGAGATAGATATATAGATAGATAGATATATATAGATATATATCTTGAAAACAACAATAAACTAAGACAAGTGAACTCAGCAGACCACAGGCACGAAGCTGCAGTGTGTTGTATGGCTATTAAGAGCGCATCTGAGCAGGCTGTTTGGATGTGCAGAAGGTGGAATAAATAACTTTACAGGTGCTAAAACAACGCTACAAGATAAACTTTAAGTATATTTGAGAAGCTTAACATTTTGGTGGCAGAATTGAAGTGTTGTAATTAGCAAAGTTGCTGTATCAGCAGCTTAATGTGTAGCCATTCTCTTTTTTTCTTCCCTTTTGCAGGGGGGAAACCTGAGCTGCGGGGACTACGACGGCTGCACTCCGCTCCACGTCGCGGCCTCCGAAGGGCATTTGCCACTGGTTGAGTTTCTGCTGACGTCTGGCGCGACCGTTTATGCCAGAGACAGATACGGATCAACCCCGCTGATGAACGCCATCAAGTTCAGGTAACAAAACCGCTTGTGCCACTCTACGTAAAGTTTATAGAGCTTTTATCACTTGGGATTGCAAGTGCATCCCTGTGTCTTGTTTTGGTTTGTCTCGGCAGCCGTGTAAATGACAGCAGCTAAAACAACACAAGCCAGCTTCATTTCAAAGGGCGCGACTAGCCTAAATTAAAAGATTTTTCAGATAACATGAAATGAAAGCAAGCAGCTTGGTATGTGTGCAGAATTTTAGTGTAAGGTAACTGATCGCTGCCTTCCTGCCAAGGCTTTGTCCGTGATTTCAGGGCTCCACTCTTTCTTATGAAGCTTCCTTATGAAACAGCCAAAGTGGCCACCACTTTTGACTGTCGGAAGCGATGGTGCAGCACCAAGGGCTGTCAGTTCTCTTCTGCCCTCTCCTTTCTCATCAAGACCTGACTCTTTCGATTGGCACAAAACACACCGGTAGGTTGGTGTGGTTTCATCTTCCCCTTTCCCCGGTGCTTTCCTGAGTCTCTTGCTGGGTAACTGGTTTTTTGATTTTCCTCTTCTGCCCACTCATAATTACATGGGGTGGCTGCATGGCTCTGTCTGCGCTGTGGGTTTCCTCTTCCTGCTCTTCCGGACATCAGCAGTTCTTGAATGGAGGCATGGATGTGTGGTTTACTGGACTTTCCCATGTTGTACAGTCCTAAGGAATAGCACAGAATATAGGAATTACCAGTTATCAAAATCTAATTTTAAAACAGTGCGTATAGCCTGGGGATTCACAGAGCCATTGGTCTTCTAACGTGTTGGAAGCTGCTTGCCCTAATCTCTTGTTTCTTTGATCCCCTTTCAGCTCCTTATCTCATATTCAGTATACAATGGCAGGAGAGAAGGTTTTTTCCTGTAAAGCAGTGTGCAGTGATAGGATTTCCCTGGTCTTCATGGATGTCTGTCCCCAAATATTCCTGCAGCTTTCTAATGCTGACAGGTTCTCCTGGTCTGTCAGGCTGGACTTGGCTCCCTGGGATGGTCCTGGCTTGTGTGGGCTGCAGGAATAATTCAAAGGCTTTGTCTGTGTCAAAACCAGATGCAGAAAACTCACCAGGCTCTGTTGACCTGAGATGTGAAATCCTGCGTGGCCACACTGTGCTATCGCCGTTCCTGCTGCGTGGTCCCCTGTGGCTCTGTAGGCGTTGCTTTATCTCATGAATATATAAGCCCTTCAGTGGCAAACCCTTAAAGTCTTAAAGCACAACCAAGCCCAACAGCAAATCAAACAAATCACCTCGCCGAGGAGCAGAGGTGGCGCTGGGCCAACGTGAGAAAATGCTCGAGCGCTGGATACCTTCAGATGTTCCTGCAAATCCGGCACCCACTTCTCTTACCGCACCCATCCACCGCCCCAGGAATTTCACATGAGCTTGTTGTTTGGATTCCTCAGCTCTGCCACTCCTATATTCGACTTCTCGGCTCTTTAAAACTGCGCACCCGGTTTTGGTGCAGGGAATCGTACGAGGAAACGGCACCAGAACCATTTTCAGTTTCTCTTTTTGTTTCTGCTGTCGGAAGGAGCGGAAGAGATGACTTGGAAGTGATCTCCTGAATGTGTATTTCTGATCTGCTGTGTGCTCACACTGCATTTCACACTGATAAGCATGTAAAGGAGAATGTAGAGATTGGGCAGCTGTGTATGTGCGTAATTAGGTACCCACTAAAAAGACTTCTGCTGCAGGAATATTTCAGTTCTATTTATTGAGCAGTTGTGTGCTCAAAGTGGAGAGATTATCCTGATGCAGTGCAGAGTGGAAAAGGGAAGGGGGAGAATGAATCTTTAATGAGCAGTCAGTGCTTTAAACCGATTTTAATATTGCAACTTTCTCAATTTTACTGAATATTGCATCAGCTTAATCCCATTTTCTGGGAATTAATATTTGTTTAATTGGCATTTAACTGCAGTGCAGTATCCACTCATCTTAAAAATAGCTTTCTTCCAGTTGTTTATGTCTCATTTCTCAGGGGCTTGCCTTCTAACCTAGCATGCAAACCTCTGTAATGATGACTGATTTCTCTTTTCCTTTTAATCATCTGTAAAGATGAGCAGGAGTTACGTCTCTTCTTAAAAGCTCCGTAACGTGGCCCTGTCACCAGCAGCTTGATCTATACCAGTGCCAGTCTCTTAAATTTTTGTGCTTTAAGTGACTCTTTGGTTGTTTCTTTCGATGCTGAAATATGGAGTCCTTTTCTAAACAAGAATTAAAGGACTGCGTTTCCGCTTTTTCACTTGTAACTCCGCAATTTGCGTGTAGTCTCCTTCACTTTGCGCATGAAGCTGAACAGAGCGCTGTTAATTTGGACCAGTTGCTTGACGTATCAAAATTAGTAGCATTCCTTTAATTTCTCCGACTGCCCTCGAGGGATAATTCATTTTCAAAACAATAGAATAATACTTTTTAAATAAGAGAAACTCTCTAAGCAGGAAAACGTCTTGAATGAAAATGGTGTCTATTTTATGTAGTAAGAGCACTCCCATTTACCTGCAGAGTTGTGGTAAAAGGTTGAAAATGGGGAGTTGCTCATACAGCGCTGTGAGAACATCAGATGAGAGGCAGCAAAACCACCTCCCACGTAAACACAGATTTAAATACTGGAGATTTTGCAAGTTTACATTTACATTACTTCAGGAAATGTGAGGCAGAGTGAAAACCCAGCCACCACAGGCTCCAGAGGTGCACTGAAGCCTGTTCTTACAGTATTCCAGCATAAAATTCCCACTGATACCCCGCAAAACCCTGCAAGTGAAGCTGAGCCGGTGCTGCTGTAACCCTCCTGGGTGCTGGGGGAGTGAGCATGGAAAAGAATGAGGCCTGTCAGGTTTGGGCATAGGTTACACTGCATTGCATTGCAGTGCATTACACCTGCGTCTCTTTAGGAGATTTAGTGGAAGGTGCACACCCTAAGGCCCCAGTGCTGCAGATGGGTACACGCGTGTTCATGTCACGTGTGATTCATCCTTTTTGGAGTGCACTCACTTCTAGTGTCTGCCAAGCGGAGGCCTGGGACGATGGGTGCTGCACGGCACCTTGACTGCTGGGAATCCAGAGCATAAACTGGTATGAGTTCAGATGTCTTTATCTGCTTGAAAGAGTCCAGCAGGGCCACAAAGATGCTGGAGGGAGTGGAGCATCTCCTGCTGAGGAGCGGCTGAGGGAGCTGGGGCTCTTGAGCTTGGAGCAGAGGAGACAGGGGTGCCCTCATTCCTGGGGATCCATTGGGAAAGGGCAGTGTCAGGAGGAAGGAGCCAGGCTCTGCTCTGGGATGGCCAATGCCAGGACAAGGGGCAATGGTCCCAAGCTGGAGCACAGGAGGTTCAAGCTGAAGATGAGGCCAAAGTTTGTGAGTGTGAGGGTTCTGGAGCATGGCCCAGGCTGCCCAGAGAGGTTGTGGAGTCTCCTTGTGTGGAGACCCCCAAAGCCCTGGCCGTGTTCCTGTGTGACTGCTCTGAATCATTTATCTTGGAATGATTTGGCACATTTGAACCCATCCCATGAAGTCCATGGCTCATGGCATCAGCCGAACTTCAGCTCAGCTAAGCCAGGACCCCTGGGAGGCTTTTGGAAAGCCACAGGAGAGCACCACTTACACAACATCTAACGACAAATCCCTCTCCTGTGCCCGAGACATAACCATGTCAGCAAATCCTCAGCCAGCCTCTTGAGATCTGAGTGCCGCTCTCGTGGTGGGTGCAGGGCAGCAGAAGTGCTGCTCTGGCTCTGATTTGCAGTGTAGGAAGCATTCGGGTGCAAGTAGGAACAAGCTGTGTGGGGACTTACCTCCCGCAGGGCTCTGGTGTCGAGTGCTGGGAGTGTGCAGGGTGGTCCCTTTGCTTTTTTTTGGACAGATCTGCTCCTCACAGTGGTAAATTTAACACTTTTGAGTTGTGCATTGCTGTTTGTCCCGATTCTTCCTCTCCTTTTCCCCTTCATTTAGGAAGCGGTGATGTACAACGTGTCCTCTTCCCAAGAAACATGGCTTTGAACAATTCCCAGTCATCGAGACATTGTATTTCTCTTTAGAAATGTTTTATTGCAAGCATTTATTGTAAACACTGTTAGTTTCAGTGCTTAAAGATTTATTTTATTTCAAACCAATTTTTGTTTTTCCTTATTGAAACTTGCTGTATTAAATGTGCGGGGTAAACGCCCCCAAATCTGTCTATATTGAAGATTCATGGAGTCCTACTCGGTGTAGTAATGGCTGTGTGGCGTAAGTGGGACGTGAAGTGCTACCAGTGAGGAGTAAATAGTTACAACAGGGGAAAAGTCCAGCTCCTGGCTCTTTGCTGGAGCCCAGAGATACAGACCTTACAGGGTGAGCATATTGAGGGAAGGTACCACACAACATTAATGCTTTGCTGCCTTTTACCTTTTAGTGCTGTCCCATAGCAAAGCTTTTCTTTTAAAGAGCACTGGTTTCATGCAGTGATTTCAAGTATAAGGTGGGAAATGAGGAATGCTGCGGGGCAGATGCTCCCCATGCTCATTTCCGTACCTGTTGAGCTCAAGTGCACAGATGTCTTCTACAACCCGTTTGGTAGGTGAAATAGCATATGTTTGGAAAGGCAAAACGATTCCTATAGCATCTTTATAAATTAAGATCATACAGGAAACAGATAAGCTTCCATAGGATTACTATGGCTGACTGTGAAGCAGCTTCTCGTTCAAGCTGGGGTTTCCCAAAGAGAAGCAGAGGGATCAGATACTCAGTTTGGTCCAGGAAATGCAAGGAATTTAGCAGAAACATGTATGTGAGCTTATTTTTTTCTTTTAAATTGGTACAGATGAGTTTTTAGGTAATGGCTTGAAAGCCTGTATACTTCCTATTACAATTATATGCCTCGCTCTTTATTTTGAAGTGTGGTACAGTGACTTACTTAAAAGAGGAGCTGTGAAGCTATTCCTGATCCACTGGTGTCATCGTGCTCTTTCTGAAAGAAAAACCCCGTGTTTGGATCTGTGAACCAGATCACTTACTCAGCAGAGGATCAGCTTTCACCTCCTTTTGGACCCTAATTCTACACTTTTCACTAGGTCCCTTCTGAAAACTGTAATTTGCACATTTTTCATCTGTCTTGTTGTTTTCTACCCATGACATTACCTTTATAGACCAGCCTTTTCCACAGGCTTTCCCAGGCATCTGACTAAGGTACAGGAGTTGGCTGGTGGTGCTTAAATATCTGTTTGTCCCTTTGTTTCAAAGGAAAGGACAAGGAAGGCCTCCTAAAGGTGGAAATAAATAATAAAGGTATTGGGAGGAGGGGGTTAGGTATAGGTGTGCTTTTGTGGGAGGTTTGTAGGAATAGTTACCACAATTCTGAAGCCCTAAAAGCTGATGCTGTCTTCTATGTTAAAGATTTATTGCTTATCTGCAAGACATAGGTTTTATTTCAGACTGGTATACATGGGCACTGTATTCTGTAAAGTACAGGACTGATGCTATGTAAAGAATGTCCTCACTTTTGTGTATCTCAACCACTGGTATTTCAAGTGTTAAAATCTGTCGCCTTGGATAAGATTCCTTGGTGCTGTGATGGTGGCAAATATAAGAACTTTCACTGTCTGCATGAGTAATGCTGGATTTAGGGGAAAAAACCCAAGCCCTACCAACGAAGATGCTTTCTCTGTTTTTTCTGTTCCCTTCATAAAGGCAAATGGAAGTGATTAATCTGTTACGAGAAACGGGAGCGCACCTCTCGAGCCATGACCTGGAGAACACTGGGACAATTCTCTGCAGGTAAATGTGAGATAAGGGGAGATGGGCCGAAAATTGGGAGGGAGGGGGATGGCTTTTTGGTGGAGACTCTCAGGATGGAGAGCAGTGCATAGACAACGTCCAAGAAACTTGTGTCCATGGCACAATGTGACTATTTCTGTGCTAGAGGAATAATGAGCAAATGAACGAAGCAATGAAATTAAGAATTAACCCTGTGTGGGGGCAGTAACTCAAGAGAGCTCCAAAGTGGGGAGCGTTGTGAGGGTAAGTGAGCTGGAAGCAAATATGCCCCATTTTTTTCCAAGCATTTTCACTGTGGAAGGTGAGGAAGAAGCTGTGCAAGGTGTGATTCACTTGAGAATAAAGCTGCACATAGGGCATCACTTTTATTTTCATAAAATCCACTGTTCACTTATGTGGGAATGGCTTCTCCTTTAATTAACACATAGTATCAGCCCTAAAAATAACTAAATCAAATAGACAAATAGGTTTAACCCCAAAACTTCTGACAACTGCTTACCATCTCTACGTAACTTTAAGAGGATATAATCCTCTGTTACAGTTGGTTTTCTGTACAGTTGCTTTTAATATATAGGGTGGATTAATGAGATGGATATATAATATGAAAATAAATGGATGCTTGATTTTATTTCTTCCAGTACTGGTCCTGAATGACAAATTACTCTGAAAACTGTAAGAAGGTGTCATGTATTTCTTAAAATCAGAGTTTTTACTTCATTTCTTTGCTGCTTCTCAAAAACAAACAAATCCTTTACATCAGACCTGTAGGAACCAGCCAGGGCTGTAGGTTGTCTCCAAAAACATAAAGGCAAGGTGAAGGGTGTGTGTGCTCTGTGTAGAGACTGGACTCTGTCCTCTCAGTATTCCTGCAGTCAAGAAATCCCAGCTGGAGCCTTTCTATTGTCATAATACCTTTGGAGGAGGCTGATAATGAGACTTTTACCATGTAAATGAAATGTAAACCATGCACTTCCCAGGGCACTGCAGGTGACAGGACAGGACTAAACCCTTGGTTTGCACAGTTTCCGTCCACCGAAAAGGTGAGAGGAGCAGCGTTCCTCTGCAAATACACTGGCCACTTCCTTAGCTGCCTGCAGAACCAGTTTGGCCAGCTGGCCTGGGAGTAACATGGCCAAAAAAAAACCCAAGCAAGGGTCCTTCAGACAAAATAGTGGTTCTGATGCAGGTTGTTACAGCATTTTAAGGAGGATTGTACACCTTGCGTTTCTACTGGACGATCTCCTGTAGTTCAAAGCTGGTACTTCGACAATAAGTTTGGTATAAAACCAGTGTTTGTCCTCCTGCCAGGACATCTCGGATGGTTCTCCTGGAGCATCCTCAGATGACCTGGGCAATGCACTCATTTCTCTGTCCCACCTCTTACCTCCACCCTTTAAACCTTCTCTTTGCAGCACTGGCACCTTCGTGGCAGCCCAAGTGTTCCCCTGCTCAGGCTGCTTACAGACCAAGCTGTTAGTAACGTCTTCCCTCTAACTTGAACTATTCTCCTACATCTCTTATGTGCCTTCAACTGCAATTTGTACCCATCTGAACTGGTCACCAAGGCAGTATGTTGAATTCCTGGGGTATAGAGGGACAAAGCTGTCTGTTTCCTGATAAGCCCTGGGTTCCTGCACTTGCTGAACTTATTTTTCTGCCATACAGTTCTCTCTGATTCAGAAGCTATAACCATGTTTCCCCCTTTGCTATTCACCTATCCTCAAACTGGCTTTCATAGAAGACCATGACCAGTGATTTTTGTCTTTTAATACCATCTCCTCAGCCTCTTTCCATTTAGACCCATGATTTCAGAATAGAATAGTTCAGTTGGAAGATCTTGGAGATAAAACTAAAAGAAATGTGCTCCTTCAGTGATGTCAGAGAGGAAAAGCAGTACCAAGCAGGACTGAGTGGTACAGCGTCAGCGGGAACTCGTGTGTAGGAAGAGGAGATGCACATAGGTGCAGCCAGTGGGATTCAGCCATTAAATCAATCACCGTTTCACTTGCTGGCTGCTGCTTTAAGTGAGAGGTGTTGGTCTGATTTTTAGAATAATTTTGTTGATGTTTATTATCTGGTTCATGGCTTTGTTTTGCGATGAGAAATAGGTCTTAATGTAAGTAATCTGTTAAAGACATCAGCATCTCTTCTCATATTGCGGCAGAATTGTCATCTGACTGCAAAGCCAAACCATGACTGGATGAAGTGGGACACTCACACGTATTCTGAAGGCTTGGAGTTGGTGAACAGTTGCTTTGTGTTTGTTTTTTAAAGGAAAAAAGCCTGTACATGATCGAGATACTCTGTTCAAGTCCCTACTTCCCAAAATGAAATAGAGGCATAAAGCCAACCCAGCTTTCTCTTTCCTATTTTTAGATTTCATCAGATACTATGGTACAATAGACAAGGATGCAGCCTTTCAGAACCAGCAGCTTTCAGAATAAGGTGCCTCTTCAGTTTAACGTAACCTTGGGGGTAATGGAGAGGTAAATACACCTCTGAACCTGGGAAACGGGTGCCTAATACTTCTTTTTCAAAATGCCAGCTGTGGGTAGGCAGCACACCTGGGATTATCTGCTGCAAAAGGGATCAGTCAGAGTTTAGTAAAACGTGGCAAGTAGTTCTTCATCAGCAAAGCAGGGTTTACACATCCTGATAAGTGTATCCTATTATTTCTATTCAGTTTTATGGTATGGAAATGATGGACTTGCTGCTTAGAGGATGTAGTTGCCATTGGAATTGCTGCTGTAACTGTCTTTGAGAGAAAACACAGAGCAAAGGTCCCTGTAGCGTATGCTGGGAAGTCCTATGTATATATGTGACTATATGGAGTACATTTACAGTGTGCAAAGGAAATACAGACGTGCTTGGCTTGATTATGGAGATCTGGATCTATGTAATGATCTGGATCTATTAATGCTTGCTTTTTCCTGCCGTTTCCCTCAGGACTTCTCACTGTTCGACCTCCTTTGCCTTCCCCTGCTTCCTCACTGCTACTGAGGAGCCTTTTCCTTGATCCTTTTCCTCACCACGTCAGTCTGAAGCACTGTTGAACCTCACAGCACCCCCTGTCCCTTCCCTGTCCCTGGCTGTGGCTCAGGGCTGAGGAGGGTACATGGAGGAGCACAGAGACCTCTTTGCTTCCCCCTCTCCTGCCCAGGGACTGCTGCTGGCAAAAGCCTTTCTCCAGCTTCCTCCAACTGCTGCAATTAGAGGCTTCCACGCCCCTGAAATCACTTTTTCAGGTACTCAAAGAGATTTAATCAACAGCAGAAGCGATTTCAGCTGAGCAGAGAAGTGGATGTTGCAGCCTTTGCTTTCGGGGTTGCTTCCCTGTGTGCCCCTGGCATCTTCCAGCCTGCAGTCCCCACCAGCTCTGCCTGGCCGGGTTGTCCTACCCTGGAGCCCATCACCATCCTCCATCCCTGCTACCAGTGCTGTTTAGGGCAGCAGACTCTGAGCTGAGTAAGTTTGGGAAGGGTTCCCCCTCTCTTGATGATTCTCATCTTCTCTCTCTCATCCTCATTTGATGAATATCAGCGTGGTTTGCTGAAGCAATGTGCAAGTCCTTCTTTTACCAAAGAGATAAGGAAAAAGTGAACCCTAAGTGTGATAGATGAGATGTGCAAAGAAACAACCTGGTGTACTTGAAAACTTTATTCACTTATTTGTGTATGGTCAATTCTGATCCTTTCTGTTGCTTGCTAGACATGGCAGGTAGAGGTCATCCTCAACAAGGTCTTTTGAATCTTTCTTGCCCATTTAAATCTTAAAAATTACCTTATAAAACTCAAAGAAAGCAGCTGCTGCTGCCCAAATGACATCCTGTAAACACGCTGTCCCAACTCCCAATAGCAAATGTGGTTACGTCAACTGGAGCAGGGGGTTTCTCGGCAGGTTTGGGTATCTGCTCCTGCTCTCACTGACTCGGCTGCATCTTCATGCAGCCATTGCCCTCCCCAGCGCGTTTCCCGAGGTAAATATTGTGTTGTGAAATCTGAAACTGCGTGACTTTTTTTCCCCCGTTGGTCATAGTCACCCCCGCCCTGTGAAACCAGCCTGTTGTAAGTGCCTACACACAGCCCTGCTAATTGAAGGAACTGATTCATCAAGCCGTGCTGCTTGCTCAGCTCTTCCGCGCTGTT